CGCTCTCTCTCGGTTGGCTTTCGTGTTGTTTCTCGGCTGGACCTGGGGTATACTTGGAGCTGCATCAAAACTGTTCCTAGCCTATATGTCGGCGGCATCTCGGCTGCATCTCTGCACCTTGCCCTCGCCGCCGCCACCCGCCCGGCCGCTACCAGCCCCTTCGCCACCCTCGTCCTCCTCCCCTCTGCCCCCACCCCCTTCGCCACCCCCCCTACCGCCGTTCGACACATGGGAGTGCTCGGCAGGGACAGGAATGACGCTGATGCAGTCCGCCAGCACCGGCGACACCGTCATTGTCGTCAACTGCTACGTCGACAGTCTCCATGTGGGCAGTATCATCACTCTGAACGGGGTTACCTATGAGGTGGTCGCCCTCGCAGTGCCCTCCGACAGGCGCCGCCTCGCTGGGGGACTGCCAATCACGCTGGCTACAGCGCTGACCGATGATGTATCTTCTGGCGATTCGGTCAAGGTCGTTCCGACGATGCCTCCAATGCTTCCGATGCCACCAATGATCCCGCCGATGCCTCCCCGTCCGCCGATGCTGCCGCCGACGTCTCCTGTTCCACCTAGGACGCCACCATCTCCACCGACACCACCGCTCTTGCCGCTCCCGCCCCTTTCTCCTGGCCAGCGCTTCCGCTCTGCGGCAGTCATGACCGGCACTGTTTTCGCGGATCTTTTCGACGAGGGGACGCTTCGACACCATTTTGCCGCATTACTTGGCATCTCTGCTGTGCACGTGATCGTGTCTGCAACGGCCATGTCCCCCTCATCAAGCTTGCCCCACGGCCTGCGGCTACTCAGCGTCACAATGGCAACCGCAGCCGATGCAACTGTCTCAGTTGAGGTGCAGCAGCAGGCGGCACAGGCATTGAGCACGAGCTTCAGACAGATCAATGGCGTTTCGAACGTGCTGTGTCTTGACCATGCGTCGCCGCCTGCTCTGCCCCCAACAGCACCCCCTCTTCCTCCGCCGCCCACGCCGCCGCCGCCCTCCAACTCGCCGTCGCCGCCGCCTCCGACGCCTCCACCCGCCCCTCCGCCGCCCTCGCCGCCGCCACCAGCCCCGCCGCCACCCACCCCTCCGCCCCCCATGCCGCCGCCTCCCTCCACCTCGCCCTCCCCGCCACCAGCCCCGCCTCCACCCGCCCCTCCGCCGCCCTCGCCGCCGCCACCAGCCCCGCCGCCACCCGCCCCTCCGCCCCCCTCGCCGCCGCCTCCCTCCACCTCTCCCTCCCCGCCACCAGCCCCGCCGCCACCCGCCCCTCCGCCCCCCTCGCCGCCGCCTCCCTCCACCTCGTCCTCGCCTCCGCCACCAAGCCGTACTCCAGGGACGCCGGTGCCTGCTCGCAGCATCCCATTCCTGGCCTCGCTGCAGGTCTGCGTCGATGGCGAGTGCGTGCCCAGGTGCGGCGGTACGCTCATCTCCGAGAACTGGGTTCTCACCGCGGCGCACTGTACTCGGGGCGCGGATGTTTCGCGCGTCGTCCTTGGCCTCCACACCGTGGGCAGTGAGGAGACCGATGAATGTGTCGTCATCCGTGGAGTTAGGGACGTCGTCAACCACGAGCGTTACAAAGGGCATCTTAAAGGCTCTTTCCTGACCGTGCCTGGTCTTGACAAGAGAGTAAACGGAGACCACCTCAAGGCCAACGACATCGCGCTCATCGAGTTAAATTCGAGCGCTCCATACGCCCCCATCGAGAAGCTCGCCCAGCCGGGCAGCAGCCTGGCGGTGGACGGTTCGCTGCTCGTTGTCGCTGGATGGGGTGTCAACGAAGGCAACTATACAAGCGCGGCGCAGTACACGATGGTACCCGTCGTCAGCTCCAGCAAATGTCAAGACTGGGATTTTGGCTTTGAAGTGAATGGTAATGGTGAGATCTCGGACGACATGCTCTGCGCGGGCGGGGGCGGGGCCGACGCGTGCCAAGGCGACTCGGGCGGACCGCTCTTTGGGCTGGACGACGAGGGGGAGACGGTCCTTGTCGGCGTCGTCAGCTTTGGCCCAAAATACGAGTGCGGCACCGGAGGGGTGTATGCGCGGGTCTCGTACTTTGCAGACTGGATCTGCAACAACACAAACAACACGGTGTCGGTCTGCTCAAGCGGGAGGAGGCTCGGCGAGGAGGACTGGGGCGAGGGGGCGGCCTCGCCCGAGCTTGATCGCTTAGGGCCGGCGGTCGTCGAACAGCCTGAGCTCAGCCAGACGCGGGTTGATTCAGGCACCAAGCCAAGGCCGAAACCGACGCTGCTTCCGCCACCGCCGCCGTTGCCGTTGCCCTCGGCTCTGCCCTCGGCTCTGCCCTCGGCTCCGCCTCCTCCGCACGCACCGGCACCGTTTCGGCCACCCTACACTCCATGGGTCGCGCCAAGCTCGCGCCCAATGGCGGATACAGAACCGGATGCCAGGTTAAGCCGTGCCCGCCGTCGCTTGTGCACCTGCCACACAACCTACCCGACGTGCGCTAGCGGTGGTTGGTGTACCAACAGCGCCGGTCAGAGCCCTTATTATGGGTGCGGGGGGTACGGTGGCTCTTACTGCACCAGTGACCACTACCCCCCTCCGTCGCCTCTCCCACCGTCGCCCCAACCGCCTCTTCCTTCACCCCCGCCACCGTCGCCTCCCCCACCATCCCCGCACCCGTCACCTCCCCCACCGACTCCCCCACCGTCCCCACCGTCCCCACCACGAGTTGACCCATTTCTACCGCCGCCGCCAAAGTCACCGCCTCCCTTCTCACCGCCACCTTTGCTACCTCCGTCCCCACCTTCCTTGCCCCCGTCACCTCCACCGCCACTGCCACCACCTCTCTCGCCGCCACCGTCTCCCTTGTCGCCCGGCCACCGATGCTTCCATTGACTATGCTGCTGGAAATATCTCAGCGATCGACGTCGCCACTGCTTTTTCTTCTGCGCGTTCCGAGGCTATGGGCCTTGCAAATAGCTTGGGAGGAGGACCTGTCGGCGCCGAGAACGTGACATACAGCATCTCGGACGACCTCATGCAAGGGCAGGGCAGGGCGGAATCAACATGAGGAACGTCAGGTTTGAGGAGAACGAAGCGACTTATGATGAGAATGACCGGAGTGGATCAGCTTTACAACTGGATCAAACAAATACTTGCGGCGCGGTGGATGTAGATTCCGCTTTCTGCGGCATCGTGCAAAACGTCACGTTTGCTGGCAACCGCGGCGGTGTGACCGTGTCACGGCATAACGCACCGACTCCCCTCTTTCTCTGCCAGCCGGGCCATTACATGCCTGCTGACTCGTCGTTGACGATCCCAGGCGACTTTACAGACTGCGAGAGCTTCCCCTGCGCCGCTGGCTACTTGGGCCGTGAGCAGGAGCTTCGGTCCATTTCAACGTGCGACGGCCCCTGCCCAGCTGGATCGTTTTGCCCCAACGGAACCGCCGAGCCCCACCCCTGCCCAATCGGCACCAGCAACGAAGTGCCACGCGGCGCGAGCAAAGATGCCTGCCGCTCCTGCTACTACGGCCAGTTCCAGCCCGAGCCCGGCTCCGCACACTGCTCCGTCTGCGCCGCTAGATGATTCGAGCATTCCCAGCACCCAGGATGCTCCGGCATCTTAAGTTGAAACTACCATCTATCTAGAGATGCTCGAGCATAGGCAAGACAGTGTGCAGTCCAAGTAGGGCGCATCTTAGAGGCATATTATCTCAAGATGCGCATATCATCTGTAGATGGGGGGGTCGCTGCCCCTGACGCGAGCCTCGGCGCAGAGGGCAGCGCCTAGCGGGCGGGAACCCTTACCCCGCGCCCGCCGCTGCCCGCCGCTTTGTGCGCGGGACCTCCGAGCGACGAGGCTCCTGACACAGCTCCCGACTAGCGAGCGGAGGCGGCGCTACCCGCCGGCCCGCCAGCGACGCACGCCGCAGGCGCCCCAGCGCGCAGGGCAGCCAGGCCGAACAGGACGACTACCGATGCTCCGATGCCGGCAACGTCAATGCTCTCCTTCGTGCAGAAGGCGCTGCGCAACCTCCTCGTCAGCGACGACGAGGTCGTCCCGCGTGCGGCTGCTCCCGGGCCGACGGCGTCGCGGAGCCGACGTCGCCCCCCGCGCCGCTCGTCTGCAGCCCCAGCCAACGTTCCGAGTTCAGCGATCCAGGTGACCGTCCACCCTCCCCACTCTGCCAAGCGGCACCCACCCCCCTCGGCCGGCGGATGCCCACCGGCCGAGCGGCGAACGCGGCCCTCGAGCCAGCCGCCTTCAGTGGCAAGACCCCAGGGGGTGTCAGGTACTGCGTAGCTAGCTCTTCCGTTGTGGAGGCACGCGACTCCAGACTGACCCTTTACGCGCCAATGTATCACACCTCACGGTGCAGATGCTTGGGTCATGTGGAGAAGCCGAGATAAACTAGTCCACCCGAGGAAGGCTGTGAACAAGTTTGAGCTCGAGAATGCCGCCGCCACAGGTGCCCACCCTCTCGGAGCGCGCCGCCCGATTCGCGCGGGAGGCGCTCGACCCTCCGCCCGTGCCCGAGAAGCGGGTCGCCTGGGCCGGCGGTCCCATCGTCACGAGCGACCGTCGCGAGGCGCTGCTCAAGCTCCTCGTTCGCAAGGCGGCGCAAGGCGTGGCCCTCACCGCCGACCAGCAGCGGGCGCTGGACAACCTGTCCCGCGAGGGCCTCACCGACGACCAGCAGCGGGCGCTCGACGCGATGGGCAAGGAGAACAGCGCGCAGCCTCCTCGAGGCGAAGGCCCAAAGAGGGGCGAGGGCAAGAAGAAGAAGAAGCGCGGGCCGCCGCCGCGGGGCTGCCTCATCACGCCGTCGCCGCCGCTGGCGGACTCGCGCGCCGCCAACGCCGTCGACGCCTCCTCGTGCGCCGCCGACCTCGACCTCGCCTCGCCGTGCTTCCACCACCTATCCAGCACGATGCAGCAGGTCCTCGCCAAAGCCACAACACTCTACCCCACCCTCACCCCCGCCCCTCTCCTCCCCACCTCCGCCCCTCTCCTCCGCCCCTCTCCTCCGCCCCTCTCCTGAGCCCCCTCCGCCCTCACCTCCGCCACTCTCCCCGCTGCAGGACCTCGCCCTCGCGGCCCCGCCACAGCGGAACAAGGACGCCGTCCGCGACCTGCGCGATAAGATCAAGATGCTGCGCTCGTCCGCCCGCAGCGCGGGCGTGGCCGTCCCCTCGCTCGCGCCTCCGCCCGCCGCGAGCCGCCTCTCTGACCCGCCGCTGCCCTCGCCGCTGCCACCCCCGACGCCGACGCCGCCTCCGCCGCCGCCCGCCTCCACGCCGCTCGAGGCTGTCGTGTCGGACGCGGCGCCGCCAGCCGCGGCAGGCTCCGCGCCACCGGCGGGTGCCTCCCACAGGAGCAGCTCTCCCCCGCCGTC